CCGGTTTCGGCCGAGGGGTTTCGGCTGTTTTAGGAGCGGACGTACCCATTTGAACGGAGATTGCTTTCCCGTGCTGAAATTTTCCCGCGCTGCTGCCTCAACCAAGCCACCTGCCCCGAGGACAAACAGTTAAAATGAGAACAGGAAAACGATTTTGAAGAGAGAGATGGAAGAGAGAAGTAAAAAGGGGCCAGCATTTAAAGCTGCTGCCAGCAGCCTGATGCCACCTTCCACCCCCGCCCCGTTACTTGTAATTACAAAGCAGTCAAACTGTAAAAGACTTTAATAGACATCTTAATTATTGCATTAAAGTTTGAAATGGAAAATTCCTCATTACGTGCCAGGCAGTAGGTCACGGCTGCAATAAAGGGTGATATTTTGCTTGTTACGGTGCTGGGTGCGAGGCGCCCGTTGCAGACGGCGCCGTCTTTGGGGCACGTCCCGGCCCCCGGGAGCGGGCAGGCGGCGGCACCAACAGGTCTCTCCGCTGCGAGAGCACCTACCTTTGCTTTCAATGGGAAAGCATCAGCGAAAAGTGCTCTTTGGTATTTCTTTTCTCCTCCTCATAGTGCTATTTTTCTCCTGTGTTTTGCTTTCCATCTGCTTGAATGTGTTTATTGGTTTCGTGTTATGCAAACTGCAGTAGACCCGCATCCTTCCGATGCCGCAGAGCCTATGCCAGCTATCGAATGTGCCCTAAACAATTTAAATATAAATCGACCCATCAATTCCAACGCACAGCAACAATACAACATACCCGTAATTAATCGGGGCTTAAACGCCATCCCCAGCGCTGCGTCCCTCACAGCCGCCCTGTCCCCAGCTTCCTCGGGGCGGGCGGGGCAGGGGGGGCCACCATCCCACAGCCCTGCTGCTCCAGCACGCAGGTGGTTTTAGGAGCCCGGTGGGCTCAGCCCTTTCTCTGGGGCTTTGCACAGTTGTGCGATACCACGCAGAAGATCAGGGCAGGCTTTGAAGTTAGAAAGATGTTCTGTTAACTACTTGACTCTATGGATGAGGTTTTACAATTCCTTTGACGGCTGTTTCTCCTTTCAAAATGTATTCCTAAGCCTTTCCCCCCCCCCTCCTTCCTCCTTCCCCCCAGTAGTTGTGCCCTTGCCCAAGGGGCGCCCCCGAGGGAGGGGAGGCGCCGCCAGGGCTGCTGCGCCCATCCCCGCCGCACCTGGCCTG